TGAAAATCCCAGTAACTGAGCAGATTGTGAAATACTCAGACCAACCATGCCATGCTTAAAATTGCTTAAATCACCATTCTTTCCCATTCTGGCATTCAGTTTGGAGTTCAGGAGATTGTCTTGACCAGGACCACACCCCTAAATGCATTGAAGCAACTGCCATGTAATTGGTTGATTCGATAATTGCATTAATGAGAAATTGAACAGGTGTTCCTAATAATCCTTTAGGTGAGTGTATATATATATATATATATCTCCATCCATCCTCCAAACCACTTATCCTTTTTTGGTTGTGGGGGGGTCTGGGGCCTATCCCAGAAGCTGTGGAACAACCCAGGGTGGGAGGGCATACTCACATACCCAGGTGCCCATCACAGGGCATACTCACATACCATTCACTCACACATGCACAATTGTTTAGTTATTCCAATTAGCCTCAGCATGTCTTTGGACTGTTCGGGGAAACCAGAGTACCTGGAGGAAACCCCACAATGACATGGGGAGAACATGTAAACTCCACACACACGTGACCCAAGCGAAGACTCAAACCCAGGTCCCAGAGGTGTGAGACAACTGTGCTAACCACTGCACCACCATGCCACTCCTATGTATATAAGAACATAAGAAATTTACAAACGAGAGGAGGCCATTCGGCCCATCAAACTCGTTTGGGGAGAACTTAACTAATAGCTCAGAGTTGTTAAAATCTTATCTAGCTCTGATTTAAAGGAACCAAGGGTTTTAGCTTCCGCTACACTAGCAGGAAGACTATTCCATACTCTAACTACATGCTGTGTAAAGAAGTGCTTCCTCAAATTTGTTTTAAAATGTTCTTCCGCTAATTTCCACTTATGGCCACGAATTCTAGTATTTAAACTAATATTGAAATAGCCATTTGGCTGAACAGCATCCAGACCCGTTACAATCTTGTCCCCCATTAGTCTCCTTTGCTCAAGGCTAAACAGATTCAGTTCCACTAACCTCTCCTCATAAGACATTCCTCTAAGATCAGGAATCATTCTCGTAGCCCTCCGTTGCACCTTTTCCAAGGCAGCAATGTCCTTCTTAAGCTATGGTGACCAAACCTGCACACAATATTCTAGGTGGGGTCTTACCAAGGAATTATATAAATGTAACATCACCTCCCTTGACTTAAACTCCACACACCTAGAGATATAACCCAACATTCTATTATGCTCTTTTTTTATTGCTTCCCCACACTGGCGAGAGTGGGACATGGAAGCATCAACATACATGTACTGTATATGGCTTTCATATTAGTATTATTTCAATGCCCAGGTAGCCCTCAAAATGTCACTAGTCCAAAGCCCCCAGGATACCTTCAGTCAGTGTCGGGTATAGACTGTGACTGGATGGATGGACTGAGATGTTCAGCTGTAGTATTACCACACAGCTGAAAGACAGTAGTAAGAATCTCCCAGAAGGGCTCTGCTGCAGCTAATCTTCTGCTTCCTCTTGAAATAAACTTGAGGAGCGAGGTTAATTAAAACAGGCTTAATAATCGCTAAACATAATGGCTGTAACTCACACGTCTTCTGTAAATGCTCCACCCACCAGGTAGCGCAGGGGAATTTGGGTTAGCTGAATGAAAAATGGCACGTATGGCTTATTAATGGATGATGATGCTTTAATTGTTATTCATTATGAAGCGGTGTAATTAATGTAAGTCAAAGAAGGTGTGTGTGTGTGCGTGCGTCACTAATTATTTACAACTTTTGTTCCCATTGAAAGATAGTGATCACTATAAAATATGAGGTGAAGATGAGTTGCGACTTGTTTCCTTGGCAGTTGCTGTAACTATCTCTTCTACGGACGTTTGTTCCACAGTGGTAGTAGCAAAAGGAAGCCAAAATATCCAAGAAAAATATATATACACTGTGTTTTTAATGTCCATGGGTGAAAAGGAGGAACAGTGATGTCTTTGTCAGCAGTAAACATTCATGGCGGTGTGCTTGAACCGTCCATATAGATCATTCTAGACAACCTCCAGGAATCCACTTGTTTCTTGCGCCCAGAGAAGCACATCCAGTCTGAGAACATTGTCCTGCTTATGAGCAGGCTTTGTAAACACATGAGATATGAGCAAGGAAAGCGCTGTGAGCAGCCTTTGTGTTTGCAAAGGGAAAAGTCACCTGACAAGAATACAGCTCTGCCATTAGGACATTTTTCTAATTTAGCAACTGTGACTGCCTTGTGCATGTGCATGTGCATGTGTGTGTGTGTGCGCTCAGACGATAGCGGCCAGACAGGTTTGCGGCCATGGATACACCCCCTGCCTGATACAGAAGTTGTTTTGGAGAAGCTGCATTATGTAGGCTGCCTGCACATGCAGATATAATATCCAGACAGGCCATTACCTCTAACATCCCTGAACACCCCCCTCCTCTCCCCAGACAAAGGGAGTGTTTTCCACAGTCTGCTGAGCATTAAAGGCCTTTTCCCTGTCCGTTTCGATTCGGTGTGCTGGCACAGGTGATCTTCAATGAGAACGGCGTGATATGAGGCGGAAGCCATTGACAGATGGGCACTTCCTTGGTGTTTGTGTGTGTGTGTGTGTGTGTGTGGGGGGGGGTTCTTCAGCAATCTGTGATCAGGAGGGGCCACTCCGTGGGGTCCACATGCTACTTATGAGTCAGAAGGCTCTACCTGACTCATTCTGATGCTAAGCTTTTTCAAGTAAATGGGAAAACTGTGTCACCTGTCTTGATTATTGTTACATTTTATTTTTTAAATATAACACTTAGAGCTGCCTTCTATTTGCAGTTTAATCTCCACAAACTTCCTCTATCTTCTTGACTTGACTTGACATTGACTCCTTAAACATTAGAATGTTAGGATTCATGTCTCATTTGTGTTTTTTCTGAATGTCCTAAGAAGGAACACAAATATTGACTTCAGTCTGGTGCTCATACATTCCAATGGGATCTACAATAAAGAGAGATAAAAATTAAACCTGTCTGGGGGGGTTCACCAAAGCGTTAAACTGTGACTATGAGCATGCACATTTTATAAAGCAAACATGCATGGTGGCATATGCCTATGGTGACCATGTTTTATTTCCAGAACCCACCAGTTGGGGGCAGCAGCACTTCGTTCGAATTTCCTCATCTGTGTTCTGCGTTCTGTGTTCTCATCACAAGGTGTTTATTATGATTTAGCTCCACTGAGAATATAAGAGCAGTAATTATGGTATTTGCAAAAATGGAAACTAAAGACACAAGGACTTCATAAGCAGGGCAAGAAAAGCAGAGCTAACAATCTATCTTGGGTAATAACTGTTTGTTTTGCATTTCTAAGGATATATACAGTATATTTTTTGTTTTATTGCAGTGTCCATCAGTAGCATGCAGCGTTCTATGAACTGTACAGAATACCCAAGAACCACATGAATATAACATATGGCACCTTATTATTCCAAAGCATTGTTGGTTCTTCATTCTGTATCAATATTTATAATGTTCATGGAGGTAATGTAATTCCAGGTGGTAGTGTTCAATCAATAGAATCAAGCATGTGATCGCCGTAGGCGTTACGCTGAGAATTCACTGGAATGATTCATATTTCAGTGTTCTTTATCTCCAACAAACGATGACAGCAGTGCAAGCAATTCAAGAAAAAAGCCAATCCATTTTCTCACAGACCAGCACCCTCGCTTGTGCTCATGGTTATATTCTCTACAGGAGTGCTTCAGAGAGCTCTCTCAGTGTGGCCTTCGAGATACCGGCAATGCTCCCTGTGATACGCATTTATTCCATTATTTATATTTACGCTGTTTATTCCGCTTGCGATTTGCACTCACTGGGTCTCCCGTGGCCAGTTTGCGGCCCGGCGTCGGTCTGGAATGAGGCAATAACGCCATGCTCTGCTCGACCCACAGAAGCGTGCCTCACCCCAGTACAGAGACTGATGTCTGACTCATCTATAATAAGTGGCTCCTGGAAAATCTCCCGTCCAGCGGTGCTCGGATAATGATGTCCAGCCTGGGTCTGCATTCAGCTCCTCTGGCATCTTTTTAGCTCTCCTTATGTCAAGGCGATGCGATCCCTCCGCGAGACAAACGCTCACGCCTGCTCTCTTACCCACCACATTCCCCGGGGCAGCTGCGGCTTCTGTTTGCTCATCTTTCGATTTGTTTTCCTCTCTTCACAACAGGTGCGATGATGTTTTTAATTAACTCTGATGGCTTAATTCATTTTATAGCTCCGCATTGTTTAAACTCGATATCCTTTTACTGCCACATATCTGGTTTATCCAGCAAGCAAACATCTGTTCAGTCAGAGCCAAAATCCCAGCAAAGCGGCACTGTGAAGCCCTTGCTGGCCCATTACATTATTAAGTGTGATGATATCTGAGCTTGTGCTGTGATGTTTTTATATTTAGTGTGAGTCCCAGCTTTATTTTTGGACACTGCAATTAAACAAAGGTAATTCTGAAATGATGGGGAAGGAAGAAGGGAATGCTGATACTTTATGATTACAATATTGTAAATATGTAACTATGGTTACGTTTTGTGTGCTTTGTTACCTCTGTTTCCCAGAACAAGGCCAAAAAATAGTTACGACAAATGGTTTCCTTCGGTTTCAGCAATTTGAAGGCTCGATGCGAGTGTGTATATGGCTGTGTCCACTTTGCATTGCAGTTGACATAAATAACTCCATATCATTACAAGGCACTTTTACGATATTAATTCCAGTCCCCTGATGGATGGCAGTGTTTCCTAATCCGGTCCACAGGGGCCCGCAAACAGTCCACATTTTTGCTCCATCCCAGCTCCCGGTTAGCAGAAATGTGAGGTGTAAGGCATGCAACACCATCAGGTATAATGCCTAATTAGTTCCAAGTGCAGTAGCGAAATGAGGATGAGTGCATTTTCTTTCTTTTCATGCTCTTGTTGGCATGGAAGACTGTCCAACAGCGGTTCAAATGTTTTACTCTGAAGAAGGAAGATTTGAAAATGTTTCACAAATGGCATCTGTGTATTTAGTCTTCATTTTTAAAAGCATCAGCAAAAGGAGTGTGTCTTGCTTATGCTGTGTTATATCACAGGATATGAAATGCATGGAGTAATACATTCTCACGCTGCTACATGAACGTGACTTTTGCACATGGACTCCATGATGTCATCGTGTCACTGGAAGGAGGTGATCAAAGCTTCATGATGAATGACATTGATCCTGTGCCGTAATATTTAAGCACTGAAAACTGCACAGTTAAACGTAAAGACTTAACTGTGAAACTAGGCCAATATATGGACATTAAAATGTGAAACTAGCATTCTGGTAGAGAAACAAAACTTGACCAAACATTCAACCAAATTCAGCAACAAAAACTGTGTGATTTCGAAACCCTGAAATTGTTCGTATGTTTTAATATCAGGTTTTACTGACCTGTGAGGCCTTAGTATGGTGATGTCATAGAAGTCTCAAAAGGCCTTTTTTAACAAGACAAGGCACGTAACAACCACCAGCAGTCTGAAACATTTAGAAATTTGCAAAAACACAGACTATTTGTCTAAGAGCTCAAGTTTTTCCCGGGATTCTGTCAAAAAATCTGCGTGTTTGCCTATGTGCTGTCTGACATTCCATGGAGATTTTACAGCAACAATTAGTTTGCTCTTTGCTGACATTTTCCCATCAAAGCAACAAAGCCCAAGCTGGTATTTTTCACATCAAAGACAGATTCTTTTTCTTTCTTTAAACCAGCATCTTCTCTGTGGATACCTGAGTTTCTCCACATTCCTTACCCCCCTCCCGAGGGAAAAAGAAAAAAAGCGTCCTCTGAGCTAGATCGCAGTGGACCTGGCAATGCCACGAGGAAAGACAATAACTCCCATTCGCACACCGGGAATGTCACATTCTTTAGTCTCCCCTTAATGTTATTTTTCTTGTTTTATTCTTTTACTCTTTCCTCAGGTATTGATTAAACTTTTCTGTTGTAACACTGAGATGCTGATTGGGAATCCGGAGAGACTTGCATAGTTTTTCCTACTGCAATGGAGAAAATCTTCCTTATAACTTTCAGTGGAGGAATAGTTAACATATATGATCTATATCTATAGTCTATAATAAGGTGTAATTCTTTTCAGTTTGCGTTCTAGTACCGTGGTGGATCTCTGCTATAACAATCTCTGTTCAGGGCTGTTAAAACAGAAGTGGAGCAGCTGGACTGAGTGGGCAAATTGTGCTCACTTCTCCCTCCAAAACTGGATGAGCGCAGTGATTTACACGAATCCGTCGCAAATAAAAACCCACCTCTTTCACCTTTACATTTTGGAAACATTCTTCACATTGGAGTTATTGAAGCATACCTTTCCCTCCTGAGAGCTGAGATGATTTTGTCAAGGGAATTGTAATCCTTACGTTTTGCACGTGTGCCGGAATTCCGAACAGGCCTGCTTCTCTTCACTGGACCGCATCTGGGTCTGCGATGTCCCCTGGCACTGCTCAGCGGGAGGGTGCGCAATTTCCTAGTACACTTCTCTCCACAATCCTACCATTGCCTTATTAACCTAACATGTTTTTTTCCCCTCTCTCTCAAAAGGATTTTTGTAGCCAATTAGACAATTTGGCATGAAAGTGCTACTTCAGAGCTAGTTGTGGGATGGAGGGTGGAGGCGTTTTGGTTAATATGACCTCCTCAGTAAAGCAGGGCTAGATCCCTCAAACCTTTTGATGGAATGGGGAATGTTTAATGAAACAAAGCATCTAAGGGCTTATCGATCTGCCTGCTGACAGACCCCTGTCTTTGACGGACACCCTTTTAAAGTTCAGGTGGTCCCTGCTGGCAGTGGCCTTACCCAGAACTGCAGCATCTTCTCATTTCTTGGAGGTCCTCTTGTGGGATCATTGCAAAACAAAGCTGGCCATCCATGTCCTGCACAGGATAGTTACAGTACACAGTTCTCAGCATTCGTGGGAATACGCTACAATATACTGTAAATGGAAACATGCCCGTTATGCTGCTATGTAGATCTGGGTCAAAATCACTTTCTCTTTTCTGTTGCAATGCGTGAGACAAGCGCTGCCTTTTCAGTGTTTTCTGCCCGCACCTCACCATCTGCATGTCATGCAACTGCGAGCGAGCGTATCACCGTCATGTAGGGGGAATGTTTACATAGCAACAGGAATTCGGGGCAGCTACGCGGAGCTAAAACAGAACACGGCGCCAGATGCAGCGAGACAGAAACATGGCGAAAAGGCTGCTTCGGAAAAACTGAATTGTGAAGATCTCTATGAATGTACAGCTACTAAGATATAGGCGCACACATAGCTGCAAGTTTTTGTTTAGTCTTAAACACATTCTGATATTTAAATTCACTATTCATTTAACACCCTGAGATGGGTTGAATCCCCATCCTGGATTTTTCACTGCCTTGCTCCCGTAGCTTGCAGCATTGGCTCCAGACCCCCATGACCCAAATAGGACAGAATAAGTACAGACGATGCGTGGATGGATTGAATGATTGATTCATTCATTGATTATTGATTCATTCATGTAACAGGTTTAAAAATATCAGGTTAAACACACTGAGTGCACTTTTCTGGCCGAGCCATGCACCACAAACTCTCTTCCCAGTAACTAAAACCCATCTGCAGGTTTCACTCTTATCATATCTCTGTAGCATTACCTGCCTTTTATGTTCTGAGGTAATGTGGTCTGATTAGTCTGTTTGTTTTTGTTGTTATTGTTTTTTCTTGTCTTGAAACCTCTGGGCAACATTTACCTTAATGCTGTGAAATTCAGCATAAGATAGACACCGAGGACTGAGGAGAATATTAAGTACAGCAGCACGGCAATATGGAATATAAATGAGTTTATGTTATACTGCAGAGCGCTCCGAACGGACGCAGAGATTCCGCTCTTTCCCATAAATCATTCCCATTCAGACTGACTTGTAGTCCCAGGGCGTTGCTCAATAGCATCTTGCAGCAGAGAAGTGAAATTGGTTTACACTGCAGAAGGAGAGCGTGCCTAGCATGGCCGATGTGCCGATGAGAGAGAGGGTGTAGTTGACTTATTGACGATAATGAACAGGCAGAGGGAAAATCCTACCCTGTGCCGTCAGAGGGGCAGGAAGACTGGGAGAAGTTCCTAACGGCCCCTTAATTGTAGCTGAGTAAGATTTTCCGGAAACTGCAGCCTTGCTGTTCCTCCTGCAGTAAAAGCAATATCATAATGGAATTTATGCCCGCATAGCTTATTAGCTGGTGCGTACAGCTGACAAAGGCCTTTTGTTAGGAATGCAGATGTTAAGGGAACAGGACCGCAGCCTCCTAATGCAGCGCAACCGATTTGTGTTTCATATGCTCTTTATTTACTTTGTGAAATAATATTTTGGAAAATAATATGATTGAAAAAAATGTCACTTGTGCTTATACTCAGGTCAGTGATAGAAATTGTAATGTTTCTTGTCAGTGAGCCTCTGTAATTTCATATGTAAATTGGCAACATGAGGATTGCGTGCAAAGAGCCAGAGGCTCTGATTAATCACAAGTTAAACCTCACGTCAATCCAATCAAAATGTTTGCTTTTCTTGTTCTATAATTAACTACATCTATATTTAAATGTATGTATATTTTATTTTTTTATTTTTGTTTTTTTCCCCAGTTTGCTCAAGCTCTAATAAGTAAGCAGTCATTTACACAGCCCTCACACTGTGGGCTCATTTCTGAGTTCATGCTGTTTGTTTACCATGTTCTTTCTGAAGATCAACATTCGGGAGCTGGATAGCATTTTAAACACCCTGTACAGGCAGTAGCAGCCCCACCTCCCCCCCCTTCGCCCCCCAGTTATCAAACGGACTCACTTACAGTTTTACACATCTGACTAATGCAAGAGTGAATCTGCATAATATTTGCAAATCGGGTTAATTCAACTGGTTAGAGCTATACTGTATGCCGGAAGCCTGCAATCGGCAATCATCATTAAATAGGTGATTATGAGTGCCAGATTGCTGGG